TCTTGAACGGGACGGTAAATCGTCATAATTGCCGCTATTGGTCCGATTCAAACCCAAGAGTTTTTCACGAGCTGCATACACAGCAATCGGAAAAATTAAATGTATGGGCTGGAATTTTCGGTGACCGGCTAGTGGGTCCCTTTTTTCTACCTGGTAATTTGACTCTCCAAATGTATTTGCAATTATTGGAAGACGCTATTGACCCTGACTTAACTGATATTATTGAAAATGTTCCAGAGTATAATGAAGAAAATTTGATTTTTCAACAAGACACGATCATCTTTTTGTGGGGATACCTAAAAAGTAAAATCTATAAAACACAGCCAGGCCGCTGGAAGATTTTCGTCAAAGAATCGTCGACGAATGCCGTCGAATCACTCCGGAAATGCTTCGGAATGTGCGCGAACGTTTCGAACAAAATCTTTATTCTTGTATGGANCAGCTTTTGGACTTTGTAAATAGGGCAAATCTACTTGCTGAATAGGACTAGTTGTGGGACGCACAATAGGCCTAATTAGGCCGCAGTGCTATGAGACTTTTAAAGGACCAACCACTAGAAGATGAAGATGATACCTTACGTGGATGATATTCTAATATTTTCACCTAACCCTGAGGATCATTTAAAGCATCTGTAGATTCTGTTTAAAAAATTATCCGAGGCAGGAATGACAATTAAACTTTCAAAATCAAAATTTGATAGGAAAGAAATGTAGTTTTTGGGGCACTTGTTGTCTGCAGAAGATATTCGAGTAAATGAGAATCGGATCAGTGGTATTCAAAACTACCCTCGAAATGTGAAGCAGTTAAAATCTTTTTTAGGTATTATTAATTATGAAAGATGGTACATTCCGAATTTAAGTGAAATTTTGGTACCTCTTCAACGTCTTTTAAAGAAAAATTCTAAATGGAAGTGGACTTCGATAGAACAAGAGAGTTTTGATTTGGTGAAAAAGAAATTTGGAGAGTTAGTTCTTTTAAGACATCCAAATGTGGAAATGAATTTTTACGTGCAAACTGATGCATCAGATTACGCATCAGGGAGTTGTCTGTTTCAGAAGGATCCTGAGACGGATGAAAAATTTATTTTAGCTTTTTATAGCAGGTCACTCAGAGAAGCCGAACTTAATTATGGTATAACCGAGAAAGAAGCACTCGCGGTAGTTGAGTCTCTTCGCCATTGGCGTACATTCTTGTTAGGGCAGCGTATAACGATAATTACCGATCATCAAGTTTTAACCTTTTTGAAATCATGTAAGTTGTTAAATTCTCGATTAACACGTTGGGTTCTTTATATTCAGGAGTTTGATATTGATATCTGTTATATCCCCGGTCGTAGTAATCAAATAGCGGATAGTTTGTCTAGGGATCCTTGTGATAGTGCTAATTTCCCCGGAGTTAAGGATAGAACTATAGAATTAGCTCGGTTTGATTGGATTGAAGTGTGCGCAATCAAGTTGACAGAGTTGGAGAAAAAGGTAAAAATAAATTTTAAGACTCTGAAAGTAGATCAGGAAAATGATTCTTTTTGCAAAAAAGTTTTGGGAGAATTGCAATCGGGAGACAAAGTTCGTTACGTGGACTGGTACTTGATTCATGAGGGATTACTATTTCGGCGTACCCCTACAGGAGATAGTCGACTATGTATTCCTAATGTTATAATTCTAACTAAGTGGACTGTATTTTTTGTTTGATTTAAAATGCTTTATTTTGACTAACTTTACAAGGGTTTTCTTAGAGTAACAACAAATGCATGCCTCGCTCTCAGTCTGTTATCACACACTGACGCTTTTATGCCCTTTCCGCTTGCACCTCGCTTCCCCCCAAGCGACGCACCCGCTGGATGAAACACTCTCGCGGTGCATGCCACGCTGCCAAGTCTAAACACATAAATATGTCATATTCTTGATTTAATAAAACAAGAACATATTGATAATGGTCATTTTGGTGTTCTTTGATGTTAAGTCGATGGTTTTATTGGCCAAGATTTTGTAAGGTTATTCGTCAAGTATTGGCAGTCTTTGTCAAAAGAGTAAAATTTCTCCTAAATGTCATGGTAAGCAGTATAGTGTGTTACATAATCAACCTAGATATTTAGTTTGTCTAGATATTATGGGTCCTTTACCTAAGTCTAGAGGAGGTGTTGCGTATTTGTTGGCCGTGATCGACGCGTTTTCTAAATATGTTTCTTTATATGCGTTAAAAAAATGTATGTATGTATATGAAGTATTTTGAAATGGTTAGTAAATGATTATTTTCCAAGAGTTGGGAAGCCTCACGCTCTATTATCGGATAATGCTACGTATTTTTGCAGTAAACTTTGGAAAAAAACTTTGAAAGATAGTCATATTAAAGAGATACATTCAAGTTCTTATTTCCCCGAAGGAAATATGACGGAGCGGATAAATAAAGAAATTGGTCGATTAATGAGGGCTTATTGCCACGATTCTCATGGTAAATGGGCTCATAAATTGAAAGAAGTGGAAGGATACTTAAATAGGGTTATTCATGGTTCCACGGGATATTCTCCTGAAGAATTATATTTTGGTCGTGAGCAGACGTCTGGGGTTGTCTCGGGTATTTCTTATCCTCATCCTCCGCTAAGATTCGAAGAGCGGATAGAAATAGCGAGGGAGCGTTTACGAACAAAAGCTGAGAAGAGGCAGTCTCGATATGTCGGTAGGAAGGAAACAGATTTTAATGAGGGGGATAAAGTTCTTGTGCGAAATCATTTACAGTCTTCTTCTGAAGAACATCAGATTAAGAAATTTTTTCTGATATACAAGGGTCCTTGTACGGTTGTTCGAAGACATGAAAATAATTCCTATCTTATTGAGGAAGATGCTACGGGTCTTTCTCTGGGAAAACACAATGTGGTGAATTTAAAACCGTATTATATGGATTTAGATGAATTATAGATAAACTGTTTCAGTTTCTAGTATACAAGTTGTAGTAATTTAGAAAATGTTTTGGGTTATTAGTTTTTCTCAAATTAAAAAAAAAAATTAATTTAATTTTTGATATTATTTTTCGTTTTTATTTAAGAAAAAGAGGGGGTGATGGGCTAGATCCCGTTATTTGAACCACCCTTTTTATTCTTGTCATTAGTTTTAAGCATTAGACCTAAGAGAACGGAGATGTTGTGTGTGTTGCGGAAGTGGTGGTGGGGCTGCAAATAGGGAAGTGGGGTCAAGTAAGTGTGTGGAAAGGGCGAGGCGGAAAAGGTCGGGAATGCGGGAGGAGAGATAGGTGGTTGCCCGAGTAGAATAGACGTAAAATATTTTACCTGGTGAAAACGGGTACGATTTCGTAAGATCGGAGAGAAGATTGGGGAGCACAGCGTAAAGGTTTTGGATAGGGGACTGTTGGATAGCGTAGGACAGTCAACCCCAAAAGTCCAAAGTTTTATGAGTACCGTGGAGGAGATACGGGATTGCTGGCCCGCTATCTGTGAGTGAGAGGAGTTGAAGAAGAGTTTGTTTAACTGTATCCAGACCCACTCTTGTATTTTTGGGAAGGTGCGAATAAGAAACACACAAAAAAGTGAGTAGTTACTTTATTCTGCTGATGGGCATCGAAGAGTATTGTAGTGCTTGTGAAGCGGTTTTCGACTAAAGTTTGAACAAAAGTTCTTTTTTGATTTCGTTTGTATTAATTATTGGTGTACAATAAAAAAAAGTAGCATTAGTGTACAATAAATCTGTTTTTCTCTCTTTTCTTTCCAAGAAAAGTACCTGCCTGAAAAAGAGTAGAACTAACTCAAGCTGTCCGACTCAGCACAATACAAAAATGTTTATAAAATTATGAACAATCAGTCTATTCAGCGTTTTGGGACACGCACACTGGCCTTGGCGTTCCAGCCACCATCGCTCGGTCTGTCTTTCCCGCTCTTCATAATATTTCGGCCATCCTGTATATTCCCGTCTTCGGGAATTCCTTGGCCCTGACCTAGAAACGGAACTTAGCGGCAGTATACTTTTTCGAACATATTTATTGTTGAGGATTTGATATCAAGTTCAAGATAATCATTTAGTCAGCATGAATGTGAAAATATGTGCTGTGCCTTGCCATTCGTCATTTGATAGATCTATACTTCTGTTACACAATCTATATACCACGCCCGCAATACGCTTTATCACCGGTACGTCGGGGCAGGCTCCTGCCCACTAAACCAAATAACGTCGCAAAATCGTGATAATGTCATCACACTCTATGTTGGCAGTCATATCACAATCACGTCATAAAATGCTTAATGTCCGCAGGCAGCCACGTCCCAAAAGTGACTAACCTAATTGTCACTTTGTTACCACTTCAAAATCACACATTTGTGACAGAAATCCAGTAGCAGGAATGATATTTATTAAACTAAATATTGACACCACTTTATCAAGATTTGTACTCCATATATGATCTCTTTATTGATATAATTATGATCAATATATGTCAATTTTGTAATATATATATATATATATNCAAGAAACGAAGACAACGACACACACACACACATACACACACACCCCCCATACCCTCCTTACGTATCCCTTCCCGCGCTAGCCTAATGGCCACCTTAGCAAAGCGCATCCCAGGCTGCATAGCCGCACTACCCTACCCAGCCATACCACACACAAACATGACACCACCCCCGGGGTTTACACAGACGAGCCGGCGAAGCAAGAAGAGTGCCATAAGAAAGGGCCCTAGCCGGCGGGGCCCAGCCAGGACAAAAGGAGGTCCCACAAAGCGCCTTGCATTTGCGGTCGGAGTTGACGACGGATGGGGCCCACCTACGAAGGCTGTCCAGGCCTTGATAACACTATTTATATTTTCTTATTTATCTAAGCATTTCCCAATATTATTATTTCCTATTTAGTAAAAAATGTTTTCTGCCAAAATATGTGTTTCTGTTTTGAGTAAACATTTTCAAATACAGGTAGAACACTACCGTAAAAAGTGGAATATCCGAACGTACCTCTTATATTTGGCATTTGCATTTGATAAACTTATATTTGGCATTTGCATTTGATAAACAAGGTTAGTTTTCACTTTGGCAAAAGAACATTATTTATTTTAAAAAAATGACTGGGGCGTATTGTAGCGTAAAAGGTTGCAAAAAATACGCGCCTCAGATTCGTAATGAAGACATATCATTTCATAATTTCCCAAAAGACGATAATTTAAAACAACAGTGGATAGATTTCTGCCAGCGAGGAAAAAACTGGATCCCAAAACAGTATTCCAAAATTTGTTCTCGCCACTTCAACACAGAAGATTTCGAGGCGAATTATATGTGGGAATTATTAAATATATCCACAAAACGAAGGTTACATAACAATAGTTAGTTGAGTGATATTTTTTTTACTTGCTTTCTGACATACCTACATTTTTGTTACAGCTGTCCCATCACGACGCGAAAATAGTGAAGAGGAAGACGTTGAAGAAATTATATTAGAATACACTAATTGCGGTAAGTAGATATAGTGTGTAGTCTCCATGACCCTCATACAGTAAAGTGGATCCGGCATTATCTATGATTTTTTTTAGGTGAAGATAGACTGCAGGGAAATTTCAAGATAGTCGACATTGATAAAATCAAAAGCGAAGATTTGGAGGACAAAGTGGGTATAAAACCTTTAGAAGAAATTGACACTCTCCGCAAGGAAGTTGCGAATTTAAAGAGAAAAACTGAGGAACAACAAGAAACCATCCATAAAATGAAGTCACTTAATGAAAGCTTAGCCAAAGATTTGCATAATGAAAGACATAGGAATCTGTACTTGAAAAATAAGTTAAATTTGCTAGAGAAGGAGGTGAAAGAAGTATCGCAACAGAAATTTGTAGGAAATGGTGTTAGTCAAAATCAAATTTTGTTAATTGTGACCAATGACAAGAAAGATAAATCAAGTGCGTAAATAGTAACATTCAAAATTGAGGGTTATGACGTATATATTGTTCGCTTAGAATTACAATAGTGAATGGATATGGTTGGAAAATCAGTAATGATTAGATTTTTATGAAATCTTTTTCACTTGAAGTGTGCAAAAAATTTCTAGAAAAATTTTGATTTTATTATTGAGCAGTGTAGTTTTTAATGATAATATTGATTTAGGAAAAAATGGCTACATTTATCTTGCGGGGCTCGATTCTCTCTAAAAGGGGGATTGAGTACGATGTATCTCATTCTTGATAACATATTATATCTTTGTTATTGTTAAAGGTAGAAAGTTGCTGTTTTTGGTAAATGTTGGCCTATATTTTTAAAGAATTTTTTTTATTTGTTTCAGAGTTGTAGCTAAAAAAATAAAAAAAATTATATTCTACATGTCCTACTTTTTCATCACAGTTGTTTTTTATTTGGGATTGTAGCATATTTTTTTTTATAAATTTCATGGTTTCAAACCTACAAATTAGTTACATTAATTTTTCATGAAAACCATAGCTAGCCAAGGTCTAGTTAAAAAGAGAGTGTTCTGTTTCCACAAATGTATAGTTTGTCATACTTATCTAAAATATGTTATAAACAAAAATAATTATTGCCAATAATTTCTTTTAATCAAAGTAAAATGTACATTCTCAATTATTATTGTTCGTTATTCAACTCTCTAATTCTAACTCTTGTCCTTCTTTTCTATTCCTATATCCAACTACCTTGTTTATACTGGGCTAGATCCCGTTATTTGAACCACCCTTTTTATTCTTGTCATTAGTTTTAAGCATTAGACCTAAGAGAACGGAGATGTGTGTGTTGCGGCAGTGGTGGTGGGGCTGCAAATAGGGAAGTGGGGTCAAGTAAGTGTGTGGAAAGGGCGAGGCGGAAAAGGTCGGGAATGCGGGAGGAGAGATAGGTGGTTGCCCGAGTAGAGCAGACGTAAATTTCCAGCTTTACCTGGTGAAAACGGGTACGATTTCGTAAGATCGGAGAGAAGATTGGGGAGCACAGCGTAAAGGTTTTGGATAGGGGAAAGTTTTATGAGTACCGTGGAGGAGATACGGGATTGCTGGCCTGCTATCTGTGAGTGAGAGGAGTTGAAAAAGAGTTTGTTTAACTGTATCCAGACCCACTCTTGTATTTTTGGGAAGGTGCGAGTAAGAAACACAAAAAAGTGAGTAGTTACTTTATTCTGCTGATGGGCATCGAAGAGTATTGTAGTGCTTGTGAAGCGGTTTTCGATTAAGTTTGAACAAAAGTTATTTTTTGATTTCGTTTGAATTAATTATTGGTGTACAATAAAAAAAGTAGCATTAGTGTACAATAAATCTGTTTTTCTCTCTTTTCTTTCCAAGAAAAGAACCTCCCTGAAAAAGAGTAGAACTAACTCAAGCTGTCCGACTCAGCACAACATGGCGCTCAACTTAAGGCTTAAAATATATATAGACTGCATTTGTTTTACTGTATATTTCAATTTATGTAAGTGGTCAAATAACGTAGTCATGGCACAATCAAAACGTTACTATTTACGGTTTTTGACGCGGGAGGAATGTGACCCTGCAGGTGCAGAGTTACTAGGGGGAGATGACGTGTCTAAGGGACAAGAAAACGATTTATTAGAAACAGAAAATGTAAATAAAAAAGAGCATGAATTTTCTGATTCAGGAATAGAATTTAAACATAAACAGGAAAATTTAAATACAGAAAAATTGCTAGAGATGTTTATCAAACAATCTTTACAATCTCAAAATGAAAATTAGCAAATATTAAAACAAATTTCACAACAGCAGCAACTTATGCAGCAATCTTTACAGGTTCAAACCGAAAATAAACTTTTGCTATTACAATTTTTTGAACATTCGGTGCAAACTCAGAAAATAAATTATTGTTGACTCAAGTTATAAATAAGCCGTCACAAAATTTAGAAGAAAAATCTAGTAGTAGTATAGAAAAAGAAAAAGATCATGACTCTGGTTTACATTATAAATTTTCTGTAAATAAATCTCAAAACGAGATATTTGAGAAAAAAACAGGACCGGTTTCAAATAATTCTTATTTAAATGATTTTTTTTTGTTAGGTGGTAAAGATTTAAAGTTTAATCCTAAAGGTCAAGGTCAAGGGCAGGGTAGATTTGGGACCTTCTGATGAAGATCAGGAGGGACCAAAATCTGTATTATCTGGTCAAATTCCAGGTAATACAAGCGAACATTCAGCACAGTAGAGCGGCATCTGCTGCTCTCTGTGCCAGTGTGGCGCGCGTAAATGCGGATTTAGCTTNATTTATCGTACTCATATATTACGGGGAATGTCGCATACAAAGTTCATATAACACATTAACATTAACCGCAGACACGGAAATGGTCCGGCTTAATCCCAGGCGAGGCAACGACCAACTTCACGCGTAAGGACGAAGGCTGTCCTTCATCGCCGGTACCACGTGACCGCTTCCGCTGACGCAGCTACGTTTCCTGCTTTGTTGCCAACACACCACATTATTATAAAAAGCTCGTGTGACGGTCAAACTAGTCAAACTTTGTACTTCATCAGCTTGAGAAGCCATTACACATACCCGCTTGTTGCGCGTTTGAGACAACTATATAAACTGTCTACTCATCTATCTGAGACAAATTTTTACTGATATTTTAATTACAATGTGTTTTGCTGCAGTATTTTGGTTCTCACAAGTATTAGGCACTCAGTTCTATTGGTTCCGTTAGCAATATTTCTCATAGTGTGTTTTGGGCATTTCAATTAAAAATTATGAAATGTAATAACCTCACGTTAATTCTTATTAGTTAGATGACATGGAAAACCCAGTATTTTGAAATAAATGTTTCTCAATAGCTTATTGTTGATAACTAAATTTATAAAAAATATCTTTTTAAAGTGAATACAATTTAGTGATAATCCTTGCTATAATATTTTGACACTTAAATCATTTCCTATATTCTGTATTTTTAAAACCAACCCGAAAACAAAAAATTAGTGACAACTATGGTTTATATATACATGGTTTATGGATTTTCTTTTTTTCCTCTGCTCCCCGTAGCGGAAAAAAATCCTTTACTATTCGTTCAAATTCAAAGTCAGAAGTAGCAGGGAATACTCTTCTCACAGTACCTGAAAAGAATTACAAATTATAAATTTTCCCTATTTCAAAGATTTTGTATTTTTTTACAAATTTATTTTGATGTAACTAAATTGAAGTTAAAATTTTGAGTTGGACTATTTGGAATATATCACAGAATTTATATGAGGAAACAACTGATCTATACACTGGTAGGTGTGTTTTTTTTTAAACAAAAATCAATCAACCTCTGTAAGAAAAGCATTGATATCTTATTAATCTTCTGAATTGGAAAACAATGTATAATCAAAAAAGAAATATATATTCTCAGAAGATGGATTTATGACCAGTAATTATGAATAATCGGCAAGAAAATTACAATACCCACACCTCTCGTTTTATAAAATTTTAATGAGTAGCATGTAAATCTACTTTATTCTTATCACACATCTAACCTTTATTTCCTACAAACAAGCAACAAAAAGTATTAACTTACTCCTTATTTCTTCAATGGTTATCAATCCCTGAATTTTAAAATTTCCTTTTAACCCTGTCCATGAGCATTGTGCTGCCAAATCATCATTAAATATTTTAGATAAACACCTTCTTGACAACTTGTCCGCATCGCTTCCTCCCACAATCTGAAGGACATTTCTCTAAAAACAATTATTAGAAATAATGTGTTTAAATTTACAGAAAATAAGTTTACCAATTGTATTACAAAATTTTCCTGATTTCTCAGTCTTTCCTCAAATCTATTTTTAATTTATAAAAAATTATTAGTTTGAAAAATAAAAATTTAAATCTTAATTCCTAATTTAAACCAGAAAAAATACGAGGAAGCCCAGTGTTTGTATTAGTTTTTGGCTCCAAATCTAGTAAATATTTTGTAACTCCAAAGGCTTTGAGTATACATATTTTATCTATGTTTAAAGGTAGCCATATTGCTTTATTATGCAAATGCGAGTAAAATGTAAATAATGTTCCCTGAAATGTTCCCTGAAGATCAATTTACAAAACCTTAGATTGTTATCCTTTAGTAATATTACGCTTCTTAAGTAGTCAAAGTTACTCAATTCATAATTCTGTCATTTACTAAGAGAAAATTATATTTTATACTTACGTTGTAAATAAAAATCAAGCTACACAGATCACGAACACAGAACACTCAAAGTGCAAGTGCCGGCTCGGGGGCTCGCCGGTTGGCGATTTCACCAATCACGTTTAATTGTCTCCCGATGTCATTGGCGCGAAATTCAAAATTTGATATGTGCATAGTTTCTTTAAATGAAACAAATAAAGTTGTAATTTTCATTTGAATATAAAATCATAGTTTTAAGATTCTCAACTAAAGTTGTGAGAAATGATTCTTAAATTAGTGTTTTTACGGTCATATTATCTCTCACTAGTTGGTATGAGATTGAATACTTCAAAGTGACTGAATTTTCAGTTATTTATTTCGATTCGTGGATTGGTGTGAAATGTGACTAAAATGTGAGTGATTTTTCTGTTTGATAATTCCACGTTTACAAACTACACATGAAAATGATGTGGTGTTTGTGACGTGTAATATCACCACTAAAATATGAGTCGCCATAGTGTTGTAAAAATAAAATGTGGCTTAATGTACCGTCACAACCACATGTTGCTATGCCAGTCACAAAATCCACTAGAATGTGAGTGGCTATGAAGTGGTTGTGGCAGTTTGTGTTTACTGGGTGGCCAGGGCATCCAATCGACATACAAGCAACAAAGAACGCATTGTCTATTTATACTTCATTCATTTGCATTCTTAAACTCTGAACACAGGCTCCCTTTATAGTCGTCCTGCCCGACTATCACCCCCAATATTTCTATGTTTTCGTTGATTGTCACAGGTTACCTTTTAAGTCGTCCTGTCCGACTATCACCACCAATATATTGTATGTTTTCGTTGACTATCACAGGTTACCTTTTAAGTCGTCCTGTCCGACTATTACCACCAATATATTGTATGTTTTCGTTNTTTTTTAGTTATTATTTTATTTGAGTAAATTTAAATGGTAACAAGGAATAAACAAAACATCGAGGATTTTATTTTTGTGCTTACTTTTGTTCTACACGTTTTACTTTTAAAGATTTCAGTACCTAAAAACGCCAGAAATTTCACTATTTCTCGGCGAGGAATATGGCCACCTTAAGCAAATGCGAGTAAAATGTAAATAATGTTCCCTGAAGATCAATTTACAAAACCTTAGATTTTTATCCTTTAGTAATATTACGCTTCTTAAGTAGTCAAAGTTACTCAATTCATAATTATGTCATTTACTAAGAGAAAATTGTATTTTATACTTACGTTGTAAATAAAAATCAAGCTACACAGATCACGAACACTCAATGCACTCAACACAATGCAAACTGCAAGTGCACTGTGCAAGTGCCGACTCGAGGGCTCGCCGGTTGGCGATTCCACCAATCACGTTTAATTGTCTCCCGATGTCATTGGCACGAAATTCAAAATTTGATATGTACATAGTTTCTTTAAATGAAACAAATAAAGTTGTAATTTTCATTTGAATATAAAATCATAGTTTTAAGATTCTCAACTAAAGTTGTGAGAAATGATTCTTAAATTAGTGTTTTTACGGTCATATATTATCTCTCACTAGTTGCTATGAGATTGAATACTTCNCATAGTTTCTTTAAATGAAACAAATAAAGTTGTAATTTTCATTTGAATATAAAATCATAGTTTTAAGATTCTCAACTAAAGTTGTGAGAAATGATTCTTAAATTAGTGTTTTTACGGTCATATATTATCTCTCACTAGTTGCTATGAGATTGAATACTTCAAAGTGATTGAATTTTCAGTTATTTATTTCGATTCGTGGATTGGTGTGAAATGTGACTAAAATGTGAGTGATTTTTCTGTTGGATAAGTCCACGTTTACAAACTACACATGAAAATGATGTGGTGTTTGTGACGTGTAATATCACCACTAAAATATGAGTCGCCATAGTGTTGTAAAAATAAAATGTGGCTTAATGTACCGTCACAACCACATGTTGCTATGCCAGTCACAAAATCCACTAGAATGTGAGTGGCTATGAAGTGGTTGTGGCAGTTTGTGTTTACTGGGTGGCCAGGGCATCCAATCGACATACAAGCAACAAAGAACGCATTGTCTATTTATACTTCATTCATTTGCATTCTTAAACTCTGAACACAGGCTCCCTTTATAGTCGTCCTGCCCGACTATCACCCCCAATATTTCTATGTTTTCGTTGACTGTCACAGGTTACCTTTTAAGTCGTCCTGTCCGACTATCACCAATATATTATATGTTTTCGTTGACTATCACAGGTTACCTTTTAAGTCGTCCTGTCCGACTAGCTCTATCTTGACATCAAATCCGTTACAACAGAACAACAAAATACATCGTTATAACTTTCCAATAAATCAATTAAAAGTCTTCTCTATCTCTAATATCTCTTTCAGAAGCACTTCTAGAGAGATCGCTGCCTTTTTTTTACAACTTGAGTATGGTCTTAATGAATCAACTGCTACTGAAGTACTGAAATTTTTTTAACCTCTCATGCCTTTCACACTTCTTATTTTATAACGATCACCTTCGAATAATTTTACTATTTTATATGGACCATAAAACTTTTTGTAAAATTTTCTATTTACACCTTTCTCACTACATGAGATACCTCCTCTCCACAAAACCAAGTCACCTTTTTTTATATTTTCTAGGTGCCTTCCTTTTGCGATCATACTGAATTTTAATTTTTCTCGCTACGTTTTTAAGATTACCACAAGCCTTGTCACTTTTATCTCTAAAGTTAACGACTCTCGGTTGTGTTTCTAAATTATTTAATAAATTGCCTCTATACTCAAATAATAGTTCAAATGGCGTAAACTTCGTACTACTGTTCACGGAATTATTTATACCCCAAATGATTTCGGGAATTTTATCATCGCAGTATCTGTCCTCGTCACTATTCATAGTTCTCATTGCATCTAATAAGATTCGATGGAACCTCTCTACCTGACCATTTGCTCTAGGTGTAGCATTCGCAGTTCTGATATGACTGATCTGTTTATCACTTACAAATTCTTTGAAATACCGACTAGTAAAAGCCAACCCATTGTCAGAAATTATGCGTTTAGGGTAACCCAAAAATTCTCCAAAAATTTGCCTCAGATTCTTAATGCTGTCACGGGACGCAAGAAAAATCCAACATTGCACCCCGTGATTTTCTACCAGGGGCCTTTTTGAACAGTAGGCTGCGGCGCACTCGACATCTAGTCCGCAGTCCGACTGCTATTCATTAAATAACCGCCGTGTCGTATTCAACCCTTCGAGCGAGCTTCAGGATTTCAGAACACCCCGTATATTCATAGAAGTCATAATCTTGTACCTACGGATATGCCGGATACCGCTGAATTGGAAAGGAGGCGAAACAAACATATTCACCTACCTTTCCAATCCAAACCGAAAACCCGCCACGGTTGCGAAATCAATCGCCGTCGGCCGGCAAAATGAAAAAGCATCTATAAGAGTCTTCAGACATCGATCCTCCTGGCGATAGCGCTTCCAGAGCGCTAAAGACTAATTTCACCGATGTTTCCAATGTCACCCGCATCGCGACCGATTACGCCTGGGTCTGCCATCCCGGCGCGCAGTGACCACTGCCGCTGCTCTCGCAACCTGCAGTCGAACCCCGGGACGCTTCACGACGACATTTGGAAACAGTCAT